CACTTTCTGTTTCCCATGGTAGATAGCGTACAGGATACTGAAATTTAAAGAATGACTCAGAGTTCTGTTCCCTGGGCAGAAGGTGACTGACTAGACATGGTCAGCAGGTGTTATGGCTGGTTTCAGCTCAGGTATGACGAGTGGGCATTGTGCAGGGGACACCCATGGCGTACTGTACATCATTACTCCACAGGTTACATAGTGTGCCATTGTTGGCATCCACAGGATCAACCGTGGAGTCTCAGTCCATAATTGAAAGGTGTGAAGAAGAGAGGGCTAGAGACACTCTAGGGGAATTTTAACTTAATGGTGTTTTCCTTAAGAAAAAAAAAAGGGCACAGAGATGTCTGTGCTATAATTCTTAAACACGTTGAGTCACAAAGTTAACTTTCTGTTCCCAATTTTTGCAAATATGGTTTAGTGATTAAAGGGACAAAAGGACACAAAAAATAGTACAAAATGAAGATGTTTAATTTAGGATATTTTTCTCATGGAACCATGAAGAATGTCATGAAGTAAATGGGAATGGAGTTTCATTTTTTCATGTACTTTAGAATTCTGAAAATTAATCAGCATTCTGAGAGTTCAAAATTCCTTGAAGCATGCAAAGGCTTATTTCTTTCTTCTCTTTTGAAAATTACTTTAAACACTTGGGGATGTGAATCTGCCAGTAATTAGGAATTAGTCATAAGAAGACCTCTTACTTCAAATGAATCTTTTTGAAAAAGCCTTTATTTATGAAGCACAACAGGTACATCCTAGAATATTGCAGAGGGAGAGGAGATACTTATTTTGAGTGGAAATTGAAGTTATCACCAGGTGTCTCAGTGATAAATAGTTGGGCTAAGATTATAACCTAAAATTTTATTTTAAGTCACATTACTCAAACACCAAGAAATTTTAATACTGTAAAATAAAGTTTTTAAAAAGAGAGGTGGATATTTTAATCCTGCTTCTTCCTCTTTTTCTTTCATAAAGTTTGTGATGTGTGAAGCATGCATAACATTGGAAAGGGCAGGTTACTTGAGTTGGGTTAAAAAGACTTCATGGTAGCACAGTTGGTATTGCTCAATGGTTGAGTGTCAACCTATAAGCCAGGAGGTCACAGTCTGATTCCCAGTCAGGGCACATGCCTGTGTTGCAGGTTTGATCCTCAGTCGGGAGGGCAAAACACTCCATAGCTATGATGGTAGCATTATATATCTTTATGTTGATTGACAAAGTAGGGTTAAACAACATAAGAAAATGAGGGTTTTTGTTTGTTTGTTTGTTTGTTTTTTACAATTTTCTCTTATTTCAGACAAAATTAGAGCACAGTAATGCAGATTCACATATTTGAACTGACACCAGCTTGTAAAGTTGGGGGTGGTGAGTGACAAGAAGAAAGAGTAATATCTCTGGATTGTTGAATGAATTGATGGTGTGTTTCCCATAAATATATTAGCATGTAGAAAAGGAGCATGAGCTTTAGTGGTGAATATAATACATGCTCAGTTTATGCTATATCTGATATGATTGTGGGAAATCCACATATTTATGCATAGGAAACAGTTTAATATCCTAGAACAGGGTGGGTCATGGGACGAGGTAATATTAACTTGGAAAGCAGACACCTAAAGGAAGTATGCTACAAGTATGTAAGGTTTGTCTACTCAGAACCAATGAACTTGTAAGCATATATGCATAACCCGTGGACACAGACAACAGGATGATTGGGACCTGGGAGCAGGGGAAAAAGCCAGCTGGAAAAGGTTAATGGGGGGGAAAAGAGGACCTATGTAATACTTTTAACGATAAAGATTAAGAAAAAAGAAGCCCTAACTGGTTTGGCTAAGTGGATAGAATGCCGGCCTGCAGATTCAAGGGTCCCAGGTTCCATTCCAGTCAAGGGCATGTACCTTGGTTGTGGGCACATACCAAGTAGGGGGTGTGCAGGAGGCAGTTGATTGATGTTTCTCTCTCATCAGTGTTTCTAACTTTGTCTCTCTTTCTTCCTCTGAGTAAAAAAATCAATAAAATATATTTTTTTTTAAAAAGAAGAAGAGAGGTGGCAGTGGAAGGGAGGAAGAATTAGAAATGCATTGTGAGACTATTGGGTTGTTTTAATGGGAATCATTTTATAGCTTAAAGAACTTGAACATCGCTAAAATTATCCTAAGCTTTTTATATTTTGAGAGAATTTATTTTTTTGTCTTTAACCTTCACAAGTTTCCTTTGAAATTTTTGTTTGTACCAATCTTCCTTGTAGCTATTACTTCTTCTTAAACTCATCTTGGCTGATAGTTCTGAAGTTTGGATATAACATTATAAGAAAACCTTTTTAAAATTTTCCATTGTTCTTTCAAAAAGATTCCCTAACATTTATAGCTCCCAGATTATAGCATAAATTTTCTAGAGGAACTACAAAACTTATGTTTTTTTAAAATATATTTAAATCCTCTAGAAAAAAAATGAAAGGAAGGAAGAATTACTAAGAAAAAATTTAATCAGAAATTTGTGTACTCATGTGTTGCCTGTTTAATTTTTTTAAATACAAATTCATTGTTCTATTATGAAAAGGCCCTGCCAACATTTAAATGAGAGAGTATCTGTAAACAGAGGAATAATATATACACTGATTTTTTGGTTCAATAAATAGCTCTTATAAACATATTTGATATTACCTGGCAAATTGAAGGGCCAAAAAAAAACTAATATGATTTGAAATGCTTGCTGGGAAAAAAAGTTTCTTTCTAATTCATGGAAATTTTAAATATATAGGCTTTTAATGTTGATAATTAGTTTAAAAATAGTCTTGTCAATAGAACTTAACTTTAAGCATTGAAAAACTGGAAGGTTATGTCTTTAATAGAAGTGTCCTTTCATCTATTTCTTTTTACATGTGTCACTATTATGGGTAAAGTTGCTGAGGTCAGCTTTGATAGTTTCTTCCTACAAAATGGAAGCCTTTTAAATTCAAGTGAACAAACATTTAATATATTTGTTGATCCCAAACTCCATACAAAATACTTTGCTAGACACTTTTGGAGATACACAGATGAATAAAACAGACCAGTAATATGTAAAACATACTCTGTAAGCATTGCTACAACTTCCTCCAGAGGTTAAGTGTAGGATTAAGCATGTTGACAGGTTAAAAAAAAGTAAAGGAAAAGAAGAATCTCACTTGTCTAGAGAAAAGATATTGACCACCCTCAACCTTTTAAAACACAATTTAAAAAGAGGGTGAATGAGAAAAATATTTTCTACTAAACCATTTTACTTTACCTGAAAATATATACATTCCACCTTAAGAAAAAGGCTATAACATTTAGAAGGACAACCATCCCTTTACTCTTTAATGGTCCCATTTTGTACAGGGACCATTATGGTGCTCACAATCATGAATTCATTAACAAAACAGTTAGACTGTTTTTTCCACTATTTATAATTTAAAAGAGTATTTCATATTTCAGTGTTCTACACATTCTGGATCCAAAATCACCTTTTAACTTTTGTGGAACTAAATTCTTTGGTCATCAAGAAAATTAATTATGTTATGAGGATTTAATGCATTATGACTTAATGTAATTATTTTGTATATAAAATTGATATATTTTCTTTTCAAAATATATGAGAGAGGCTTTGTGAACAACAAGTAGCTATTATTTATCGAGTTCTTACAGTGAGAGTTTTATGTATTCTTTAATTGTCTTAAAACCTACATACACTAGGTTTTATTCTTCCTATTTTCAGTGGAAGAAATTGAGGCCAGTTTATAAGACTTGTTCAAGGTCCTTCAACTAGTAAAGGCAGAATTTACTAATCCTGTAAGTAATTAGCCGATTTCACAATCCTTCTGCAGCAATTTGGTGAATGTTCAGGATGATCATGGTTGCATGTTTTGATACCAAAAAGAGAAAACAACTTGAATTTGCTTAAGCACAATCGTCGCCTGTTACAAAGAAGCAGGGATGACTGCCAGAACCCAACGACAAGTTGAAAATCTGAAGCCATGGGGCTAGGGGTCTCTGCTGCTTTTTGTGCACCTGTGCCATTGTTTTTACTTTGCTGACCAGCTTTCTCTGTGGCTCTTTGCATGTAGTGATGATAAACACCCACAGCTTCTGGGACTCCATTATCATACACTCTCTCCACATAGAAAGACTATGTATGTCTTTATCCCATTTCTCAAGGGGAAAAAAATTAGCTTAGCATAGAATGTGAGATTAAACACCTGTTCTAATCCTCCTTGGTCTAGCAAGCAAGATTACCTAAGAGTAACACGACTGCGGCTGTACCAGCCCTGAGTAATGATGGTGATCCTGTGATCCTAGAGAAATAGATCCCATACAGGCCATGGGCAGACCATGTGGTCCTTCAGTTCAGAGAGCAGTGCCTGGTGGTTAAGATCATGGTTCCTGGAGCAACCTTTGTAGAGTCATTGCTCAATTCTGCTATGACTGTGTGAGTGACCTTGTGTAAGTCTTAACCTTTTGTGCCTACTCATTTCTTTATCTCTAATGTGGCATAAATAATCTTATTACATGTGCACTATTGGAAAAGTTCCTGGCAACATATTAAACATTTAATACATCTTGGTTATTAGCTTATGATAATGGCCAACTGTAGCAGATGTTCCACTTGTCAAATAAATTAATTTTAAGTTTAGTAATGTTCCATTACTCCTGTGACCATCAATGCTTCAAAAATGAAATGATGTTGTTTTTATTTTGCTAAGAGTTATATGATTCACAAGCCTATTCAAAATGCAGATAACGGAAGAGGAAAAACAGAAGGTTTTATAATTGGCTAGTTACTTGTTGTAGTAAGGAAGGCTGATTTCCTAATAAACTTGAAAAGATATCTAATTCTTTCTGGTGAGTATAATATTTATGTAGAAAAAAACTGTAATTGAGAATATTTGCATAATTATTGAAAAATGTGAACACTTTATTAATTGCAATTGTACAGAGGAGGTCACTTAATTTTGTGTTGATTAATCACACATTTATTTTCAGATACATGACAGATGGAGGACTCAACCTCTATACTAGAAGTCTGAACCGAATTCCAGACACGGTGACTTCCAGGGATGCCATTCAGAGAGGTGTTCACGATGTAACTGTCGATGCAGACAGGTAATGCCATGGAGTATATCTGATAATGAAGAGTGTATAAAGCAATTTCATAAATGAGATCCTAGGAATTTTACAGTATAAATCAGTGGGCTTTTATTTTGCTATAATAATTATTTTGGAACATTTAAAAAAAAAAAACTAAGGTGATTTCACTTCAAGACTTTAAGACTTCAAGACTTTTTAAACTCAGTATACTGAAAAAATTTGCATTGCTGGTGAGAATATTTAACAAATTTCAGGCTACATGGCAACAAGTTTTAATAGATCTAAAGCAAAATTATAAACATAGACTTACGTTCTTTACTTAAAAAGAACCCTGACTGATAAATTCCTGTTGATTTGGATACCCTCAGATGTACCTGGAAGCTAATGATATAAAGATTAAAATATAATTCAAATTATCAGATACAGTAAGCTTGATGCGTTTCTTGAGGGGTTTGTTGAAAGCATTCAGCTCTTGTTTTAGGTTAATTTGTGATTTGTAATTGTTTCATATTGCTTAAAGGTAGGTGTATTTTGTGTGTGTGTGTTTGCTGGGAATTGTTTTGTCAATTTTATTAGAATCACTGTTGTTAGAGAATATTGTATATGTAAAATAAGTTTTTAAAACATACTTCTGACCTAATTTTGTCCCCTCTCCACCCAGAATTTTGACTTTATTGGGTAGGAAGGGAGTACCCATTTCCAACACTACTATGTGTCGATATGTAAAGTGGTTCTTGAACTTGGCATTATGAAAAGGACAAGAGGTGAAAAGTGCATGTGCCCGTATTCTGAAATAAGAATTGGCTGCTTGTCCTTCGTATTCCATGTGGTGTAAGGCACACAGTTACCATTATGGGTGTCAGGCAGGCTGGTGTGGGGCTTGGGTAGGAGAGAGTTCTCTCAGTTTCCTTGTTGGTGCTTTGCTGTTTGGATATACAAAAGGACCTAAATGCTGCTTGCTGTAGCCTGCCTAGTCTTTGGGTGGGGTAAGGAGGAGCAAAGGAGGGAGAGCGAGTGGGAAGGACTCAACAAAGCCTAGCACCTCTGGAAGTCTGGTCACTTAGGACAGGGCCCCAGCGTGGCTTTGCACGACTGGCCACCAGGCTGCTTCCTTGTGGCTTCCTGAGCCAGGTCACAGGTGATGGTGCTGCTGGAGGCCTGGGAAGATTCTGAATTCATCTGGAAGTGCTCTGGGGCAGTGGTCGGCAAACTGTGGCTCGCTCGTGAGCCACATGTGGCTCTCCAGCTGCGATTTGCTGTTCTGTTGACTAAGGAGTCTGCCCACCAGTACTGTAAGGCACTATCCTTACCCAGAAGTTTTGGCTTCAGGTTAAAGACATGAGTACATTATTAAAATGTTTTCTAAGTGCTTTTCCCTAAGGCAGTTGTTGGCAAACTCATTAGTCAACAGAGTAGCAAGATGCATGTGGCTGGTGAGCTGCAGTTTGTGGACCACTGTTTCAAAGCATAATGCATAATAGAAATTACTATTTTTGCATTGTAGTTTCTGACAGATTGGTTTGCGATACCACAATCCAGATGCTGAAGTCACAGCTGAGGAAGGAATTTGCAAAGGGCCCTAAGGAATTGCCATGGTTTCACATGCCTCTCAGGTTACCAGTCATCACAATTCTTAATATATTTGGGGCAGCCTAGGTCTGAACATCTGCTCACACTGCAGCGCTTGTTTCATTGGGCGGGAGAGAAACTTTTCCTCTGTCTTCTTAGGTTTAGTATTTGGGGGTGTGCAAATTACACTGACAAAAGCTAGGTTATCAGGAGAAAAGAGGGGTTTTGTTTTATTCATGTATGTATATAGTTTGCAAAAAATGCGACAAGATGGTTAAAATTTGTCTGGCATCTTAATAGGGGAAGGGGAGTGTGAGAAGGGCACTCATGAAAAAATAAAGGACTTTTTGGAGATAACTGGGCCTACAGAAGGAGAGATAAGAGATCTGAAGCTTTGTGACAATATGTGTTTAGGTGATTTCTTACACCTATTTCTTGTCTCAGTGTAAAATTCAAAGGAGGGGATATATGACAGAATTCTTTTGGGATGCCCTATTTTTAGGAAGATAATGTGAGTTCAGAAAATAAAAGCAAAAAGGACCCAACTCTTCACAGCTGTATATTTCGGATCCCTTCATCCTAAATCTACAGTTGTTCTCAATGTGTAGAAAAATCCACTAAATCCACAAAAGGAATAAGACAAATTCTCCTTTTAAACGTTTTGCCAAGGTTGGCTTAATGTTTTTAATTTTGGGGGGGTAGGAGGGACGGAGGAAGGGAGGGAGGGAGGGAGGAAGGAAGGGAGAGAGAGAGAGAGAGAGAGAGAGAGAGAGAGAGAGAGAGAGAGAGAGATGGATGTGAGAGATACATTGGCTGGTGTCTGTTGGTTGTCTCCTGACTGGGAGCAGGGAGTGAACCTGAAACCCAAGTACCTGCCCTTGACTGGGAATTCAACTTGTAACTCTTCAGTGCATAGGCTGATGCTCTAACCACTTAGCAACAAAAGGCAGGGCTTAATTTTATTTATTATTCCTCACCAGAGGACATGCAGAGAGAGAGAGAGAGAGAGAGAGAGAGAGAAAGAGAGAGAGAGATTGGCTGCCTTCTTGACTTGCCCCCCCCCCCACACACACACACTGGAGATCCAACTGGAAACCCAGGTAGGTGCCCTGACCAGGAATCAAACCAGCAATCTTTTGGTGCACAGGATGATGCTTCACCAACTGAGTCATTCCAGCTGGGCATGACAAATTCTTATAAAATCAGGTGGGGAGTGAATTCTAAGGGAGGGAGGCCTTTGATATTTACATGACTTCAACAAATAGAAGGAGATAAAGCAATAAAGCCACCAAGCACATATCTCCAGGGTTCCACCTTATGATGCTTGCCACTAGCCTGTGTACATGCTAATAATTCATTTTATTCTGTGCTGATTTGTTCCAGCATAATCACAGAATCAGTATGGTCCCACATCTTAAGTACTTCCTTCATTAGCTTACTGACTTTTCCATAGTAATTAAAAGCAAACACAGAAAAGATTAATAGGTTGAGATAGAAATAAAGTAAGTATAATTATTTCAATTCATAATTAAATGGCCTGCATATTTTTCTCCCACATTTCTTCACTTTAAGTAGAGAGACACAAATGGCAAAACACTGGGGGAAATGTTTGATTTGCCTTCTCACCTTTTCCTGGCCCCTGACTCCCCAACACAGGCTTGTGAACTGATGCTGACCTTTGTTCCAATTCTCAGAATTAACGGAACTCATTGTAAATAGCCTCATTAACTTCTAATACTTTTAAGTAATATCCCTCATGGAATTAATTCACATTGTAGACCAGGGGTGGGGAACCTAGCATTATTCGCAGGCCATACAAAATTACCAGCTTAAAAAGTAGCTTACTATATTTGGTCAAACATTTAATAAACTCACCCCTAATGCCTTGGTAGGGCCAGACCAAATGATTTTGTGGGCCCCTGCTGTAATTTATATTGAGAACTCTGCCAAGCACTGTGCTCAATCCCATGGACCCTCCACTCAGAGGTCTTAATTAGAAGGACATTAGAATAGGAATTATTGAAGTTTAAAAAACAATTGAGACTCAAAGGATACTGGATGGTACAAGTAACATAAGTTGTAAATATTTTTGGTTGAGATACCTTTCAACATATATCAAAACATACATATAGATGGGTCCAAGCTCTAGCATCTTTTATTTTATTATTTAAATTTTATTTAATTTTATTAATTTAATTTTAATTAATTTTAATTTAATTTAATTTAATACTAGAGGCCCAGTGCACAGATTTGTGCACCGGTGTGGTCCCTTGGCATGGCCTACAGGGATAAGGCCAAAACCAGCTCTCTGTCATTCCCTGAGGGGTCCTGGATTGCTAGAGGTTGGCTCTCAGGCGACGTACCCTGGAATCTGGCTCCCTCCTCTCTGGTTCTGGGTGTGTGACCTGAGAACCACAGCTGCTGAGTCACTGCAGCTCAGCAGCTCCTGCTTTGAGCGCCTGCCCCCTGGTGGTTAGTGCACATCATAGCTACCTGTCAAACAGTCAAACTGTCAGATGGTCGCTTAGGCTTTTATATACCAGAGGCCTGGTGCACAAAATTCATACATGGAAGATGGGAGGGTGTCCCTCAGCCCAGACAGCACCCTCTTCAATCTGGAACATCCTTCTCACAATCCAGGACTACTGGCTCCCAACTGCTCTCCTGCCTGCCTTCCTGATTGCCCCTAACCACTTTTGCCTGCCAGCCTGATCACCCCATAACCACTCCCCTGCCAGCCTGATTGATGCCTAACTGCTCACCTGCCAGCCGAATTGCCCCGAACTATTCTCCCCTACAGTTGGGGTCCCTCCTAACTCCCCTCCCCTGCTAGCCAACTTGTGGTGGCCATCTTATGTCCACATGGGGGAAGGATCTTTGACCACATGGGGGCAGCCATCTTGTGTGTTAGAGTGATGGTCTATCTGCATATTACTCTTTTATTAGGATAGAGGCCTGGTCCGTGGGTGAGGGCTGGCTGGTTTATCCTAAAGGATGTCCTGGATAAAGGTGGGGGTACTCTTGAGGCATGGTGTGACCTGGGTGAGGGGCCTGTGGTAGTTTGCAGGTCAACCATGCCCCCTAGTAACCCAAGTGAAGGCCCTGGTATCTGGGTTTTATTTATCTTCTGCAATTGAAACTTTGTAACCTGGAGTGGAGCCAAGCTTTCTGCTTGCTCCTTGGTGGCAGCATTTCTATTGGGACTTGTGTATCTTCTATATTTGAAACTTTGTAGCCTGGAGTGGAGGCCTGGGCTGGCCAGGGTGTCTGGAAAGCTTGGCTTCCTCCATCACCAGGGGTAACCCTAGCCTCCTACTCTTTCCAGCTCCATGGCTGCTGCCATTTCTGTTTGAATTTATGTATCTTCTATCATTGAAACTTTGTAGCCTTGAGTGGAGGCATAGACTGGCAAGGACAGGTAGGATTTCTCCATTGCCAGCGAAACC